ATCAGGAAGGTGTGGTGTATTATGAGCTTCTAAAACCAGGTAAAACCATTAATACTGATCGCTACCGACAACAAATAATCAATTTGAACCACGATTTGATCTTAATGGGCCAGAAGACACGGCAAAGTAATTTTGCTTCATGATGACGCACCATCACACACTTCAAAACCAGTTAAGGACACGTTAAAAGATCTTGCCTGGGAAGTATTACCCACCGCCATATTCACCAGACCTTGCTCCTTCAGATTAGCACTTGTTCCGATCAATGGCACATGCATTTTCTGAGCAGCACTTCAAACCGTACGAAGAAGTGGAAAATAGGGTCTCTGAAAGTTCCCAATAGAACTTTTCTTGTTTTGAGGCAGACTCTCAACTTATTGGGATAATTAATGCTTCAAAAAATGGCAATTTTTCACCTTGTTTTATACATTACAATCAAAGGAGGAGACATAAGTGGGTAACATGAAATCCATTGGTGATAAATTAGGGAGGTGGGAGAAAGCAAAAAGGGGGGGACCTCTGGGATTAGATAAAAAGTAAAATGATAGACATATACTTCTTTTACATAGGTGGGTACAGGATAGTTAACAGTGAACAATTAACAAGATAACAATAACAATGAGGGAATTTGTGGGCTCTGCCCTGGTGCATTGGTTGTGCCCTGAGGGGTCTGAAAAAAGGGAAGTTACAAATTACGCTGACATTCTATAGATATGTTATCTTAGATGCAAAAAGACAATAGGCTCAGTGAAGATCGAAAATTGATCTTTATCATGGAAGATACTGGCCTAAGATATGACTACCCACTATAAACTGCTTTTGAATTAAAAGGTTTTAATTTCAGACCATCCTTTGTGGTTACTGTATTTTTATTTTTAAAAATTTTAAAGGTTATAATTCTTTTTTTAATTAAAAATATATATTTCTTTATTGATTTCAGAGAGGAATGGAGAGGGAGAGAGAGAAACATCAATGATGAGAGAAAATCATTGGTCGGCTGCTACCTGGACGCCTCCTGCTGGGGATCGAGCCTGCAACCCAGGCATGTGCCCTTGGCCGGAATCAAACCTGGGACCCTTCTATCCACTGAGCCAAACCAGCTAGGACCTTTGTGGTTACTTTAGGTCTATGAGTTTGCAAGGCTGCCACACAGGCCTTCCCTGAGTTAGTCAGGTTAGCATGTGGCCCCTTTTCTTCCACACACGCAACATCATGGACAATCTCAAAAGCACTTCTTGGTGAGAGGCTGTTTGTTGTGCTGGACACAACACTATGCTAAGTAAAAGAAGCCAGACACAAACTACTACAAAGTATGATTCCACTTATCTGAAATCCTGGAAAGGCAAAATTATGACAGGAAGCAGACCAGTAAATGCCAGGAGCCAGAAGAGGAGAAAGACACTGACCACAGAACAAAAGGAAGTTTCTGAGTGAAGGAAATGTTTATGTCATGATTATGGTGGTGGTTACATGACTGTACACATTTGTGAAAATGCACTATACACTTAAAATTGGTGAATTTTATTATATGTAAATTATACCTTAATAAAACTGATTTTTTAAATGTAATAATGTTTAAAAAATAAAATAAAAATGTAATGTTTTATAATGCCTAAGACTGTGATGGGATTGTGGGCAGATAAGATAGTGCAAGGGGCAGGAAGTTAATTAGGAGGGTACTGGAGGATATAAGGAAATAGCCCTTCCTCTTTTCCTCTTTTTGGTGGAAAGTCTTCTCTACTTTCTTTCTTTTTTTAAAATATATTTTTATTGATTTATAGAGTGAGAGGAAGGGAGAGGGATAGAGAGATAGAAACATTGATGGAGAGGAAGTCATCGATTGGCTGCCTCCTGCATGGGCCCCACTGGGGATCGAGCCTATGACCCGGGCATGTGCCCTGACCAGGAATTGAACCGGTGACCTCTTGGTTCCTGAGCCACACCAGCGGTTGAAAATCTTCTCTACTTTCATTTCTTTTTCCTTGGGGCTGGGATGCTCCCTCTTCCAAGCTCCTTTCCCATGCAGCTCTGTGGCTAATAATACCGTCACCACAGTTCAAGGGCCCTAGTTAGGTGATCACTAGCCCAGGAGAGATGTTTGTAAATGTTTTTTTAAAAACACAGCCAAGCCCTAACTGGTTCGGCTCAGTGGATAGAGCGTCGGCCTGCAGACTGCAGGGTCCCAGGTTGGATTCTGGTTAAGGGCATGTACCTTGGTTGCGGGCACATCCCCAGTAGGGGGTATGCAAGAGCAGCTGATCGATGTTTCTAACTCTCTATCCCTCTCCCTTCCTCTCTGTAAAAAATCAATAAAACATATTTAAAAAAAAAAAAAACAGTAAAAAAAAAAAACGCAGCCAAAAGAAAATAAAAATAAATAAAAAATGCAGCCAAAAAAATAAGAAACATAGCCAACCCCCTTTCTAAGAAAAGCCTTTTGTAGAACCTTTTTTTTATCTAAAAGAGGTAAAAGCAATATCTTATTAGAATTCATTTATATAAGTTCAACTTCATGATATCTCTGTGTTATAAAATTATTCAATGTTGCCCGGCTGGTGTTGCTCAGTGGTTGCGTATGGATCCATGCACCAGGAGGTCATAGTTCAATTCCTGGTCAGCACATATGCCCGGTTGCATCCTCTGGGGTGATCTGCCTTTCAGTCATGAGGGACTTGGACACTTCACAGACTGGTTTTGCTTGTGAATTGTTTCTTTTTTTCTCTTATCCCTAAGTCTCAGCCTTACAGTTTAACCAGTGATGTGGACAGTTTCTTTCTTACTCTTTTTTTTATTATTATTAAACATATTTTTATTGACTTCAGAGAGGAAGAGAGAGGTAAAGAGAGAGAGAAACATCAATGATGAGAAAGAATCATTGATGGGCTGCCTCCTGCACGCCCCACACTGGGGATGGAACCCACAACCCGGGCATGTGCCCTGAACGGGAATCAAACCGTGACCTCTTGGTTCATAGGTAGGTGCTCAACCACTGAGCCACGCCGGCTGGGCTGGACAGTTTCTTTATCTGCAAGGCCCACTGACTTCTGTAAGACTAAAACTCTATCCAGAAACATAATTGGGTTATTTAAAACCTTAAAAAAAAAGTTAAACTATATTTAAAATTTCTGGGTAAAAATGGTAGATTGAACACATGTATCTAATTTTGCTCCACTAATAATACACTAAAACTAGAGCAAAGGGATTTTTTAAGGACAGGGAAACAGAAGAGGAGAAAAGAGCCAAATATTTTAAGAAGCTGGATAGCATGTGGATGAGTGGTTATTGACTTGGACTAGAGAAAGATGGATCCTAAGGCAGCAGTGGGGTAACCATATGGTAAAACAGAATTGATTGTGCCAGATGGCTTACCACCCGAAGAAGGAAGTCCTAAAGATGCTGACAACAGAGGTTCCCTGCAGTGAAGCTGTAGCCAACGAGGCCCATCATGTACCGGAACCCGCAGAGCACAAACGCTTCCAATAGGCTTTCTGGTAACTCATCCTTACATGTGAACAGACAACCAAGGATTATAAAACCTTCAAGAAAACAATCTAACATGAAAGAGACCAAAACAACAGAAAAAGAAGTTTAGAGAAAACAGAGATTATGAAGAAAGAAGAAAACTTAAATAAAATTATAATAGCTTCAGAGATAAGCTAAGCTAATGCAACTCTGAAACAAATGAGATGCTATATATGAATATTCAGAGAATAAAAACAGGTGAGAGTAATGAACATCTTTAAAATAGTGAGACTCAGAATATTTCTCAGTAGATAAAACTGAGATGGAAAGATAAAATTGAGAAAATATCCAAGAAAACAAAGTAAAAAGATGGAAAGTAGGAGAGAACAATAAAAAAACTAGAAGAACCAGTCCAGCAGAACCATCCTCTGAATTATAGGAGTTTCAAAAAAGAAACAATAGCCGTAGCCAGTTTGGCTCAGTGGATAGAGCATCGGTCTGCGGACTGAAAGGTCCCGGGTTCAATTCTGGTCAAGGGCACATGCCTGTGTTTCAGGCTCGATCCCCAGAAACATCATCATTGATGTTTTTATCTTTCATTCCCTTTTCCTTCCTCTCTCTGAAATCAATAGAAATAAAAATGAATAAAAATATATTTGAAAAAAGAAAAGAAAAAGAAACAACAGAGAAAATGGAAGGGAAGATGTCACCAATGGGATGGTTCAATATTATTTCCCAGAAGTGAGGGGCACTGAGTGTCCAGCACAACAAACAGCCTCTCACCAAAACATATCATTGCCATTTCAGAACACTGGAGACATGAAGATGTTCAGAGAGGGGGAGAAAGTCACAAAGAATAAGGAATTAAAGGCTTTCATCTCAAAAGCAATGATGAAAACTAGAAGGTAATGCCCCAATGCCTTCACAATTCTCAAGAAAGTCAATTCCTAGCTAAACAATCAATCCAGTGTCTGAGTAGAACAATGGCCATGTCAAACATGCAAAGTTTCCAAACAATGCATCACCCTCTGTCTCAGGAAGCTTCTGGAAGATAGTCTCTTTCCAAAAAAGGGAATAAATCAAGAAAGAGAAAGACATTGAATATGGCAAAACAAAGATCCAACAAAGGAGAGAGGCAAAGAAAATACCCCGGAGGATGAGAGAGGAGATGCCAGGTTGCCAGATGTTCAGCAAGGATAGAGGATAAACCCTCAGAGTGGAGCAAGTCAGAGGCTCCAGCAGAGATGTCTTCAAGAAGGTGAAGTTGATAGAATATCTGTTGTATCTAGATATTCTGAGAAAAGATTTAGACAGTTTGGAGAAGATTTTAAGGCAGATTTTGATAAATACATAGATCACTAAACAAATTTAAAAAAAGATAATTATTCATTCCAGGAAAAATAAAAAATTGTGCAGGAAAGGAAGAGTAACCAAAGTTTTCTACATGGCTCAATTCTGAATGGAATATATAGTCACTGTGTTGTTAAGAACTAAAAATTGAACTAGCAAAAATTATCAAGTTAAATTTGGCAGAAGGGAGATGGGAATGAGCTATAAGAGTGGGGAGGGAGAAAGAGGGGGAAATCCTCAAATCTGCCCCTATTGCTTGTGGGGGCTAGGGCAAAACTACAATGGAGACTCACATACTAAATATATTTTTAAAATATATTTTATTGATTTTTTTACAGAGAGGAAGGGAGAGGAATAGAGAGCTAGACACATCAATGAGAGAGAAACATTGATCAGCTGCCTCCTGCACACTCCCCACTGGGGATGTGCCTGCAACGGTACATGCCCTTGACTGGAATCCAACCTGGGACCCTGCAGTCTGCAGGCCGACGCTCTATCCACTGAGCCAAACCAGTCAGGGCCTAAATATTTTAATGTTATAAATTAAGCTAACAAATCTATCTATATATATAAAAGCCCAAGCAACCCAATGACTGGTCAACCAGTTGCTATGACATGCACTGACCACCAGAGGACAGACGCTCACTGCAGTAGCTGTCCCCTGGTGGTCAGTGCACTCCCACAGCAGGAGTGCCACTCAGCCGACCAACCCATCCCAGTGGCCCATCAGCCCGGCAGCAGCCACTCACTCCCTCAGTAGTCCTGCAGGTCCAATCTCCAGAGAACGGGCCAGGCACCGATGGACTGGCGCTGCCAGCACGATCCCAACAGCGCTGCCAGCCTCACGCACTGCGTCCACTTCTCTTCCCCTCCCTAGATGCTCCACAAGGAAGAAACTACATAAAAGCGCCACCAGGTGGCTCATGACAACCAGCGCAAATGTCAGCAGGACAGATCAGGATCCTGGGCCAGCAAGAGCATCCCACCACCTTCCCAGAGGGTTGATCGCATCCGGCCACCCCCCATTCCCCTCGGGAGGGGCGCCAGATGCAGGGCTCATGGCTGGTGAGTGCCGAGGCTGCAGTGTGAGCCTCTCCCAATCAGGACTTACTGGGTGCGAGCCCCTGGCAGGTGCAGTGGGGCCGGGATGAGCAGGAGCGGCAGGCGGCGTTGGACTGCCGGTTTCGGCCCAATCCCCGAAGGCCACGCCGAGGGACCCCACCTGTTCACGAATTCGTGCACTAGGCCTCTTGTACCTTCATAAGGACTTGCAAGGCCAGGTTCTAAATTAGAATTTTTGGAATCCTTAGAGTTCTATACTAGAAAATAGAAGCCCCAGCCCCTGGCTCTTGCCTGACCCTCCTTCCCTTCTGATTTTGCCTCTGTTCTGCATTGAGAGAGCCTTAGACAGGATCCTGTGGACACCCTAACTTGTTCTCACACCTCTTGCTGTAAAGAGCTGTCTTTGACTACCCTTCAGGCCTAGGGATGCCCACACCATCAGCAAGGCCTGGCTGGGGAGAGGAGATCCAAGGAAGAAGCTGGTACAAGCCCACAAAGCGAGTTGGGCAGGCAATTCCAGGGCCCCAGGTGTTCGGAATATGGCATATAGGGGGGTAAGTGGTCTTTGGATGGGCATATCCCCTTGAACTGACCCTGTGAGGAAGGACCCAGCCAAAAAGGAAGTTTAAATACCTGAAAATGGAGAGAGGGCTCTGCTTTGAACAAATCTTATACAATTATCTGACTCTCTAAAATAGGTGTCTATGTATTCTAAGAAATACTTCATAGAAGAAAAGCTTTATAAAAATAAAATCTGATAATAAAAGTTTGTGGAACCTCTGAACCTTCTGCTATGCCTAGAGGTCTCAATAATACAGTTTGAAAACCACAGGACTGCTCCCTCATGTGAGGCTATCTAGGTGTTGGGATGAAAACCACAGCCACGTTTCTCTCTACAATGGCCCCCAGAACGAATCCCTCTTCCTGTCCTCCCATCCCTCACCTTTAATTGAGGACACCTACTTCCTGCTGGTTGTTTTCCTACTTCTCCCCTGCTGGGCTCTGGCCTCCTTGCAAGCAGGGACCCAGCTGAGTTCGTTGCCGCTGCAGCACCTAGCACAGCGCCAGACAGAGGACAGGCTCAGCCACGTGTTGATGGACAAAGGAAAAAGGAAGCATCTGTACCCGGGCTTGGAGGGAAGGTGTTTGCCTTTCTGCACAGGTATGCCTGGAGCCCTGACACCTTCGGCATATTCGTTAAATAGCTATGGGTTACAATTCCCTTATCTTAACACCACCGCATTTATCTCACATCTTTAATACCCATAAAGGACTAGGTCCCTGCTGCAAATCTCAAAAGTAACTTCGGAATCACGTGAGAAGCACGTGTTTGCCCCGTGACCGCAGGGAGTTTGGCGGGTGGAGGAGCTGTTTTCTGTTTTTCAATTTCTGTTTGCTCAGTGCCGGGAACTGTGCCTCACACCTATCAGGTGCTCAATAAGTAGTTGTTGGGTGAATTAAAGAATTAAAACGTGTTAAAAAAAACTACGCATGGGATGGAAACACGCTTTGTGAAGTGGAAAGATACACTTATATTCGGAATAAATATTTCGGTTCAGGCCCTGGTCCTCGGAGCGAGCGCATGGGACCCA